GCATGATCAATTTGGTTTTAAGAGAAAAGTGAGACAGTTGGTGTAAAAGCAAAGGAGATGCAGGAATTTCTGCAAGTGAAAAATAATTGGTTGGATTCTCATTATGTCTAGAATAAGGAGAAGTTTTAAATAGTATTATTTCCAGCGGCCTTCTATAGTAAATAAAATGTATCTACATGCAAAAAAGATGGGGCACGATATTTAATACTACACTTGGGATGTAAAAATTAGCTTTCCATGAAACCATGCAAAAAATCCACTTGCAGTGACAATTTCAGCAGCCAGGCAAATTTTTTAAATCCATAACGAAAAGTTAAAGAACACAAAATGTATATATTTGGCTGTAGCAAATTAATCATAAACAGATAGAACATCAAACCTGATGTTTTCACTTGGTTTGTTTAATAGGCAACCTCAGAACCTGATAAATATTGTACTTAAAATGTATATTGTTAGTTTGTGGTGGTGATAATAGGGAAAGCAGACAGGCAGACTGGTAGTGAGCTTAAACAGGAGGGTAACAGGCTTTACAAGGCAAATGGAGGCAGAAACCTTTGGTTACAAGTTGATGCAGGTAGATTCCAAACTTGATGGCTGACAGGAAATAGGCCTTTCAGCAGATTAGTGGCAGGTTGAAAAAACCTCGACGAGTAGAAGCAGTCCAGAATGTGATCAGAGTCAGAGGCTAAAAGAATTCAGTGAGTGCAGGTTAAGCACAGAAGGCAGACTACGCACACAGACACTGGAAAGAACAGCACACAGCCATGGAGGAGTTGACAGTCTGATAACGAATGACTGAGAGAGACAGGTATACATAGGCAAATTATACTGATTGGATTACAACTAAAAATTTATGCAACCCGTCTCTCTGACATCACATCGTAGACAGCTGTTACTTTAAAACTGACTGCAGGCAACCAAAATTTATTCTGCCATTGAACCACCGTCTGAATTAAAAATGAGAGACATGACCTTCCAGCTGGTCATCATGATACATATGATGCGCAAACTCTGTGGTACATTTGACAAAAGGACTACATCCCTCTTTAAAGAAGCTTTGAGCTGAGCTCCATTCTAATTGACTCTTTTGCAATCCCTCAGACTAAAGAATGCTTGTAGTGACACTGGAGAGGAAAACTCCCTTTGAACAAGAAGAAACCTCTACCAGAACCAGGCTCAATCTGAGCTGCCATCTGGCGAGGCCGAATGGGCGGAGACACAAAAGGTTACTGTCAACCAGCACCACAGACGGCTTCGTCCGGGAAACACACAGCCAGGCAGACGAGCCAGAAGCCAGGTCCTACGTCAGTTGATGAACGAGTGCAGATACAGTTAGTCACAGTCAGAGAAACAGGACTGCACTGGAAAACAGGCCAAGCTCCATCATCTATAAACACAGGTGTTGATGGCAGCAGCACAAATGATATTTCTCTCCAGGATGTATTCACAGCCAAACAGGAAGGTGGAATCACAGAAACCAAATCCAGAGCTTGGATTGGCTGAGGGCTACAATAATATAAGGTCAACATTCATGTGTTTTCTCTTATGCTGATAGCATTTCAATTGCTCTAAATTAATTAAAACCTAATTTGATCACATTCTGAATTCTTCAAGATAAACTTTGCTTCTCAAACATTAAATCCATGCCAACCTGAAATATCAATGCATCATGTCATTGATTATGGTTTTCAACCATGTTTCCCTTCTTCTTTGTGTATAGTAGCTTGGTTTTGTCAGGGGCAGTCCTCACTAGTTAAGTCTACTTCTGTCACCAGTTATTTTCACTTCCTGTTTATTCTGTATTCGTTTCCTATTTCATTTTAGACCGCTTCACTTCCTGAGTTCCTCCCGGCAATCAGAATCTGCCACACTTTCACCTAGTGTTTGTGATCCTCCTGTGTTTGTTGGCCTATTTGTTTCTCAGTCATGCAGCTTCCCTGACGAACTGCAGCCAGTTCGTCATTGTCCTTTGATTCAAGCGTTCGAGCCCTTTTGGATTTGAAATTAGCTTTTTTTTTAGCAATTGTTTTTATCCTGCTTGTTTGTGGACCTTTCCCTGTCTCTGTTTTTGCTACTTCTGCTTACTTTGTGTTTTTGGTGTTTGACCCCAGTGTACTAAAAGAATCTTGAACATTACTCCACTGTGTCAGGTCTTGCATTTGAGCTCTCTATTCCTGAGCCGTACGACAGGTTTAGTTGAGTTTCACTGGTTTAGTCAAGAGCTTTTTGCTGAAATATGTTGGACTTGGAGCTGAAGGATTTTTGGATTCTATATTTTGAGTGGAAGATGGGGTGAATTTATTCCATATATTTGCAGAAATATCTGTTGTTCCAACACAAAACATATAACAATCCAAATAATCTATCCATCCATTTTCTTACACGCTCATCCCAAGTGTGGTCACAAGGGGTGCTGGTGCCTATCTTCAGCGGTCTACAGGCAGAGAACCTGTGCATGCTCAGGGAGAACATGCAAACTCCATGCAGAAAGACCGGGCCGGGAATTGAACCCAGAACCTTCTTGCTGCAAGGCAGCAGTGCTACTGTCCAGTCCATTCCAAATAATATTTGATTAAATAAAATATTTACAACCCATACGGGGGTTGGTAATGAATACAACCTCTGTTGCACAACAACAGTAGCCTCGGATGATTTAACACTGTGACACGACTGAACTGCTAAGTACTGTGTTTAAAAAAAAACAGTGGTTAAATTCATCAGCATGGATGGAGCATCTTACAGGGTCTGAAAATGATGATACACAAACAGTCTTTTACAATCAACAACACCAAGCTGATTAAGCCTCTGAAAAAAATCTGATTATTCAGCATCAGGAAAATAATCATATATAAGAACTAATATCAATCAAAAGATCCATATGTTATGTGAAATGATTGATTTAATCACAACGCAGGTTGTTCTTCATTTTTTAAAATAGGATTTAATTAACACTATTTCGGCATGTTTCACAGTATTACATTACAACTTTCTCATCTATTAAGCAGCCATATCAAGCAACAGAAGAAGAACAAAACTATTCAAAGTATATTATTCAAATCTGAGGAAAATTTGAAGTTTAATCAAATTTATGCATAAAAAAAAAACAAAATCCTCACTTGACTGGTTTGGTAATAACATTTTGTTCACCTTCTGCTGCTAAATCTTTTGATATTAAATATTTGTCTTTATAAATTCCATGCTAAAGTTTTTTAATGGAAACTCCATTCATATGACAACAGAATTTAGCGAAACAGTAATAAAAAAAGTAAAAGCTTGAAAAAAGATCTTAAATGAGTAAATATGAATTATCTCCTTTGTTAAACAATGTTATAGATTATAGATCATTATCTTATAAAGGTATGGCTTTCAAAAGGCCTGCATAAACTTCTGAAAACATGTCATACTTAACTTGAATTAAAAAGTTACGTAAGGTTTATATTTTCATTGAATTTACTTAAGTCAGCAGTAATTCACAATGCATGTCCTATCAAGCCATGTTACAAGAATAATATTTTCGGTCCACATTCACTCATATGAAAATGTTTCCACCCAATCATGGTCTATGCGGGAGTAAAAATCTGGCCTGTGGTCCTTTTCCTGCATGTCTCTCCCCTTCTCTCTAACCCCTTTCCTGTCAGCCTAATGTTCAGAAAAAACGAGCCACCAGTGCTGTAAAAACTCAAAAAAAAAAAAAAAGAAGAAGAAGCTGCTTTAGCTTTAGAAAAGGTAAACAACAAAATTTAGGGAGTCTGAGTTTCTTAAAATGTCCTCTTTTTTTGTAAAGACTGGAGCATGCAAAGAATTGTCATTCTATCAGAATATTTTTAAAAGATCCTGACTGCATGGCATCCTGATATGACTGACCAAGACCAACGCTATTGATTCCAGATCTTCTCCTGATGATCAGTCTCTCTCTGCCTCATGGTTTTTGTGCTTCCTCGTTCCTTGTCCAGTCATGATGCTGAGATGATGCAGGATATGGATAGATTGGCTGAGGCCTCCTACAGTAATGGTACTGCTCCTTGTGGTCTAGAAAAAACCCTTATGATCTTAAAGAGATGAAAAAGTGTCTTTGGATTTTCGCTCTGGATCCTTTACCCAATCTATACATCTCCGAAAAGCAAAAGAAAATGAATGGACCTCTTCTGATGCTCCGTTCTGCTGAAGCCAGTATCTGTCCTCTTGGTGGTGCTATGACTTTAGATTCTTAGGCATCTCCAGTACACTGTACACTGTCTCAGTTTGTAGGAGGCTCTGCTCTGTATTTAGGTTGACAGACCCTGAAGTTGTTTGTGTGCTCCCATCTCCCAATGATTCGCTTTTTTTGTCACTTTTGACAGAGTTCGCCTTTCTAGGGACACTATAGACTGTATCTACCATCAGACACTCGCTGAAGACAAGTTCATCTCTTGAGATACCGTTCTCTCCAGGCGGACTGGCCTCCACGTTTTCATAAGAAGGCTCAGCTTCACTGGAAGTTGTGGAATCTCTGACCTCAGATTGTGGCTGCGTCTCTAACGGTCCGCTTTGTATTAACTGGGCAACAGCTGTTGTCTCCTGGAGTAAAAGTAGAAGCAAAGGTTGTTTTCTTTTAAATATAGAAACTCAGTAAGGCTCCATTTATTATAAATAATTGAATCAAATATTGATCATCATCTAATGGATTACCTGATTATGTTTTTGATGAAGTTTTCTGATAAGAAAAACAAATAAAGCACAGAGAAGTACAGAAGTAAGAACGATAAAGATGATGATAAAGATAAAAATACTAGAAGCTGTTCTTAATTCCGTCTTCTGTTCAAGATTAGATTTGAGCACACCTGTAAAAAATAAAGAAAAAAGGTTATAGCTACCAATTATTTCCTTTTAGACTTGTAATAAGCACACATAACATGCCATTTTTAATGAATGGAAATAAAATGTGAAATGTTTGAAATTAAATAACTTTCATTAACTGCTATAATGATGAACGTTTTATTCTAGTTTATGAAAAACTTTTGCTACTTACAGATGGCTGAAATTTTTTCTGAGATGTTATTTGTGCTGACATTGTTGTTGCCGCTGCAAGTAACAGTTGAGTTGTCAGTGTGAATGCTGATATTGAAGTTTTTAAGAGACCTCTGAGTTGTTGTGCAGCCATCTTTATTACAGTTAGAAGACAGCCAAACATGCTGGATGGAGCAGTTTACTGTAAAATTACAGAATCCCATTGATATATTGGATGGATTCTCTGGAGTCAGAATCATCACTGGTCTGGGAACAATATCTGAAAATCAGAAACAGACAGATTGACTAATGTCACCATCTGCTGGTTACTTGTGTAAACACAATTCAAAAATTGACATTGACATCTCAATTCAAAACTCTAAAGAGTAAAAAAAAAAAAGATTTTGTGAGTCAATACATTTTAACAAATGAAACTGTCCTTTGTAACATTCTCTTTAGCTTAAGATAAAGTACAGCTTGAACATACCTTCTACAATCACTTGGTAGCTTTCTGATGTTCGAGTAAAATTTTTCAAGTAGGAGAACGTGAAGATGCCTGTATCTTTTACACGCAGCTGATTTATGCACAAGGTCAAGTTTTTTGGGCTAAAAGTCACTCTTCCTTTATAGTTAGGATTGATTTCATTCCCATTAGTGATTACTGTTTCACCAAACATCCAATCACCCTTAGTATGGGAAGGTGTTTTTCTGACATGCAGACACACCGAGCCGTTCCTTAGTCCATAAAGCATCACAGGCGAGTCTGTTGATGTAACTCCTATGAGAAAGGATTTAGGTTAACAACAATGTTAAATAAATGATGAGTTTACATATTAACAAAAATATATCACAGTATGAGTCAACTTAAAACTGATTTCAGTACTTCATATATTTATTTTGCATTAAATTAGAAATGTCTGTGAAAAAATAATTTCCTTTAAAATTACAAATTCATGGTCTTATAAACATCCAGCAGCTGGTATCTCACTGCAAACAAGCAAAGTGGTTGTGCGACACCAATCTCAAACATGTTTATATGTTAAATGTTCTGTAAATAGTCACATTTAGCTGTTTCTCTCTTTTTCATACAGGTCTCCTCACTAGTAGGCTTCCAGTAGCTTTGCAGTAGATCACACCCCAAAACATTGCTAATTTGATCATCAAATTTTGAATGAGAAGAACAGGGCCACCAGACATGCAGTACTAATAGTCAACAGGAAAGAGGTAGAGACAAATCTGTGCCATCTAGGCCTCTATGCTCCTGCAGTGTTTTTTATAGAATCATCTAGAAGGTGTCCATTGGTCAAAGACAAGACTAAGGTAAGAAACGCTGCAGCCTGATGACCACTGTACATCCCATACACACTGAAACATCCAGTGATGGCAAATATATTTCTAGAGACACATTATTCAAAGGTGACTAGATGGACTCTTGCCCAGATAGATGGAACTGCGTCTTTCAAGTCTAAGATATTTCTGATAACAATCACTGTGTAACCAGCAAAAAAAACAACGCCGTGAGCAATAAAATGTAATTGGTCTGTACTTATATACAGATGCAGTCTACATTTAGTCACCCATTCATGCAAACACTGATGGTGGTGAGCTATATTATAACCTCAGCGGCCTTGAGGCAAACAGACAGAAGCAAGGCTTACATACAATCAGGCCCCTCTGACCACCAAGAGCAGGCAAAGCAGGGAAAGTGCGTTGCCCAAGGATACGACGACTGAGAGAAACTGAGTGGTTACAGGAAGAACAGCTACCTCCTGAGCCACCATCCCCACAAAGAGTAACACAGTCTCCTACTTGACCTGACACGACCTTTATGGTGAAGGAAAACAGTCCATACGACACTTTTAGACAAGTGTCTGGAAAAATATGTTGTTTTTACACTAAAAGTGACGGCAGATTAAATAAATAGCTAGCCGTTAGAAGCAATGGTATGTATATTGGTCACAGATTTTTTTTCGTATTTTAGAAATAATTACCTGTAAAATTTTAGTTACTGTACTAAACTACCACTGTAATAATTTCAGTTTTTCACTTGGTAGTATTAAAACATTCAGGACATCATTGGTTTCCAAATAGCAATGCTTACACAGATAAATATTCTTAGAAAAAAGCCCAAATCTCTTTTACTTTAATCCAGGGGTCTCAAACCGGTTCCAGAAAGGGCCGTGTGGCTGCAGGTCATCAAGTCATCATGTTCAGACTGCACTCAGTTGATGAGATGACTGGGATCTGGTGTGCTATTGCTTGGTTGGAAAGAGAACCTGCAGCCATACGACCCTTTGAGTCCCCTGTGTTTATTCCATGTCCAAACTCGGTCTTCTATTGCAGGTAAAAGTTTCTAAGCTTCAGGGAAACCTCTAAAGGTGCCGGACAGGGGCTCAGGAAGATCAACTTTGGACATGCCTGCTTTAATTGATACTCTAATGGATAACACAATCTTACAACAATAACAAAAAACTTTGGCTCCACGTTTATCTGTCTAAGGCCCATGTAGTCACAACTTACTCCTATAATAATTTTATATCAACTATTGCTAACCATGATTCCATCAACTTAGCAATTATTTACTTTTTTTATGTTGGTTTATTACAGAAAATCTAAATAAATGAGATTAAAATGTGTGGTTGTAATGAGACAAACATGTTTAAACCTTCAATTAGCAGCCTATGAATACATTTACAAGACAGGGGATTTAGTAGTTTTCAACAATTAAGATAAACTTGCAAAAACTTTTTTTACTGATAAACCTCCATAACTCTTTTCTGTTTTTGATTCATGCAAAAGTTTTTTTTTGTTTTTTTTAAGACAGCAGATTTCCTGCCTTCAATGTTAGATATGCAAAGATAAAATATATTATTTTCAACTCACCAGTAAAGCTCCAAAAACACAGAAGAAAGACACATTTGAGGGCATCCATTGTCATTTTTTAGACGAAGTAAAGCTGAGAAAATGTGTTGCAGTTAACAAATGAAGCGAAGCCATCTGCGAATGCTTCAAATGAAGACTGCACCTGCTGTGATCAAAGTTCAGGAAATGAAACGCTGATGTCTTAAAATAAGTTTACCCACACACAATCTACTAATCCATACTGTAACACACTAATGTGTATTTTGTTTTCTCCTCAAAAAATCTGCAGAATTTAATTTACAGGGTGATGTTACATATAAAATGATGATAATTCAATATCTGACAAAAGACTACTTTTTCTTATTATTGTTTCGTATATTCATGCAGGGTACAAAACACTATGTAAATGGGTCAGCTTTGTTCTTCCAGAGGTTAACTACCAGGAGCATCAGTCATTACAGTGAATAAAAAGCCACTGTGGTGGACTACTGACCAGTACAGGGTGGGCCCAGCCTCACAGCCAATCATAAAAACTAAAGTTACTGAAATGTAACGGATGAATCTTGCAGTTATAAAACCCAAAACATATAAAGATGCATTCACAAACAGTGCATTTCATAGAATTTATTTTTGTTCAATTCTCTGAGGTTTGTTGTGCCTGTAAGTTGTACCATGCAAAGGATTGTAGGCAACTGTCCAGCAACTTTGCAGCTCTTATGCAGCTCTTACGCGGCAGATAGCAACATCAGGAAGACCCTATGCTAACTGAACTAGCAATAAGAGGCATCCTGCTACCTCTACCGCCTTTCTTACTGCTATTCATGGTGACCGCTAACGCACTCTGATTTAAGTACCCTTACCGATTGGCAATATTATGATGAACTTATGAACGCAACCAAGAAGAGCATATAAGTGTATAAAACTTAAAAAGAACCCTTAGGATAATTTAAACAAAGAAATCTACTTATTGTGGTAACCCAAGGATTACAACAGTGTGAGGGTGAATGTTGATCCTTCCCCCCAGGAAAGAGTACTGTTTAAATGCGTGTATTCAAACTTGAAGCTTTTGTGCCAAATTTGCTTTAAATGAAGCCCCACAATGACACAAGAGGCAACATGAAAACTGCGTGTTAAGTGTTCGAATTGTAATTTTTTGAGAAGAATAAATAAAATCACTTTTAAATAATTCACACTAAGAAAAGTTTTCTTTTACGTAAGCTCTTTATGATTATGGCAAAAAAAAAGAAAACATATCGACGCTCTTTGGGGCTGCATATTTCAGGACAGATGCTGTTCTGATCTGTCTAAAAGAAGTGGTGCCAAATTATCTCTGCAAGTATTTTCATGCTTAAATCTTCACATTTAGTAAGGCACCTATATAATCTCACTAAGACCTGCTGTATACAAAATAGTTTTACTTTAAATAAAGGGAGGCTATAAGAATGCTGTTTTACAAAAAAAAAAGTGTTTCGGTTTATGTCGTTGTATTAGGGTTGTTAAATATCTGGTATTTGAAGCCATTAATTATCCACAGTATTTGTTCAAATATGTATCTTCTGTAAAGATTGTTGGGATCTGGAGGTCTGTCCACTTTCTCCACCAGAGGGTGTACGAGATCTCCTGGAGCAGGAGCTGATTGCAACCACCTGTCGCTCATCTGCTCATCAGGAGATCCGTATTTAAGGAGGTGGAGGACTTCTCTACAGTGCCAGACTGTTTGCCAGTAACGGTTAGCAAGCCTGAGCCAACCAGCCTGTCTGAACCTCTGACTCCCTGAAAACCTGAACCTGATCTGTTCTCTCTTCTCGGCTTCCTAGATTGAACCTGCCTGAAACCTGAAATCCTGAAGAGTTTCTCTGCCAGTTATCTGCCTGTCCGTTCTCAGAAGAACCCTGGAGAATAATTCCTGTCAAAGCCCTGCCTGCCCGATTCTGGAAGGAAACTCAGATCAGTTATCTGCCAACACTCAATTAAGCTCTGCCTCTGCCTAGCCCTCAGCCTGCCGACAGCCTCTGGACCCTCAAGGTTCTCCCCCCCTCAGCCGCTCTGCTCAACTCCAGAACAGGTACAGCCTCGCTCTCTCTCAACCTGCAAATTACCTGGATCTCCACTAACTCCTCTGTCCCCCTCTGCAGTGAACCCACTCGTGACCAGTCCTGGATCCTATAACTCTGTGTTTTCAGAACCCACTCGTGACCAGACGAGTTCCCCTCTGGATCTGTTCATTTATTGTGTTCAAACCCTTCAATAAACTGTTAAACTTTTTTCCTGCCTCTGAGTGTTCTGCATGTGGGTTAGGCACCTTAAACCAAACATGACAAAGATAAGTCCAAACAGTATCCCCAAAACTAAATATCTACTTCCAGCTATTTTTTTTTTTTTTTACCATTCCTCATTACAATAAACTGATTTCTAAAACATACCGGTAGATTACATTTGACTAAGACAAATATGTCAAAAATCAAAGTTTAATTCATGTTTTATGAAAATTATGCTACAAGGAGACAAGCTACATTTGCTCGCACTGTGCGATCTTTGAAAGAGTTTTAATTTTGTTTGCTTGGTTGTTTGGTTCTTACTGCAAAGAGATTTACTGCAGAAGTTTTGTGGGAAAACAAAAAAAAAGTAGTGTAACAAAAAACAAGACAATCAGCAGGTAATCTGTCACGTCTACCAAAGCAGTTCTCTCCACTTCCTGTGTTGCTCATGGATGTAAGCAGACAAACGGGCATTGGTAAAACTGCAGATGTAAAAGACCCATTCAGTTACCCTAAGAATGAACTTTTATAAGGAAGACAGCGTCGAATCAGCTGGAAAATTGGACTGTTGTTTGTAACCTTCTGGATAGATTGCAGTACTATACAGTAGATATGATTACAATTGCTTAATATATAAGTTGTCATAGAGGAAATAATCTAAGATTGTACTGTAAATACTAAAGCCGTACCAAAAGATCCCAGGATGATTTTTAATGTGTCTTTATAAAATGGTTAGAATAATAATAGGGTTACAGTTACAAAACTCTCAGCTCGTCATATATTAAAATAAATTGCTTCAGATGACACCAAATATTAATCCATATTGCCTGATTGTAAGCCACTCATCCAGGCAGTGAGCTCCTTATTGCTGGCTCTGTATCCAACAGCGGCGATGGATGCAGGAGTTTGCCCTGCAAATGGAGGGTTGCTCTGCAGAGGGCCCGATGGCGCCTGTGTGTGACAGCCTTGCTTATTTCACTGAGCCCAAGGACTCCCAAGCTAGAATGCAGCCATGTGCATGTGTGCGTGAATTACATAATTACATTGTATATAAGTACCGTTTACTTTGTAGCTCTTACCACTGAGTCTGTAGAGAGTAGAAATAACATCCTGTCAGTCACTTATACCGGTAGTTTGTCTCTGCAAGAATCCCTGTAAAATTTTACTTGATAATTGATAACAAAAAGGTTTTGCTAAATTTAACGAAACTTAAAATCTTTGCTTGTTTTGTAAAATACAATGATGCATCCATAGCAGGAAATATTGCTCAACAGACACACATGTTTTAAATAATACGTTTATTAAACAAGGCACTTGAAGTTACATTAGCAGTTTGCGCATTGAGCTCTTGGTACCTAAAAATAAGTCAAATATTGTACTGACTGATGTAGAAACAAGGACAACATCACTCCAGATGCTGAGACTAAATCTAACGTAAAGCGCAGTCGTACGTACCTTTATCTTTTTTTTTTTTTTTTTTTTTTTTTTTTTTTGTGAGCGATCAAATCATTTTATGATAGGAAGGCACAAAACCTCAATTTTATCATGAGGACAGATTTTAGTTTTGCAAAAACTGACTTTACAAACTGACTGACACAGGCAATTGATCATTACCTTATCATTATTCAATGTTGAGCCGTTAAGTTTTTTTAGTAGCAAAAAGTAATTATCAATAATTTATTCATAGCCTACCACGTTAGTATTATGTCTCCACTGAGTTATTTTAGGTTAATTAAGAGCGGTAATATTCCCTATTTTCTAACAGTCAACTGCTCCATAGAAACTTTAGTAACTGAAAGTAAGGTGTAATACAATGTTTATTGAGAATTATATTAGCAAGATAAACTTTTAATTGATTAACGAATGGAAACATGGCAACATGTAGGTACATAATAAGGGTTATAATTGGCGAAGAGGCAAATCGACCCAAAGCCTACCTGGTTGTTGTAAAAGCACAACATCTGTAAGAAGAAATGTTTCAAATCAAATCCGAAGGTTTTGGGGAAATTACTAACACCTTCAACTAATTTTAATATTTAACAATAATAAACAAACAAAAATAAAAAAGCTAATTTTGATAAAGTACCATATTTCTTTAGTTTTACGGCTGTTACAGTTTTTAAAAGTTATTTTATTTAACTTTTCATTTAGCCTGTGTGATAAAATGTGGACAGATTTTACCTTGTGTTCTTTACAGAAACATTACTAAATCCTAACCCCAGTTAGTTTCTTCTATCCAGAACTCTAAGTCAACAGGTCATATGTACCAAATGGAAGCACAGAAGAGAAATATATTTACAAACACTGTACATAATGACATGAAAACATACTGTACACGTTTTAAAATAGCTCACAAAAAGTTTCATGAAAAATATACTTATACCCACAGAGCATAAGCTGACATATAACCTTGTATACTATCAAGGTTAGTTAATTTATTACTTGTTTATAAAAATTCCAGTTTTATTTCAAGTTAAAGTGATTTTAGTAAAATGACTACTCTCTTTTATCGTAACATGATAGTCCTCAAAGAGGAAAACTTGACCGTTAATCATGTTAGATTGTAATAAAATATGATACAGTCCCTTAAAGTAACGTATAAACATCATTTTCCAATATTTACACCACCTGTTGCAGGTCGTTTAAAAGGTCCAGTGTGTTTAATAAGAAGCTTAGTGAAAACATTATACTTTCACTTTTATAAAATCATAGGAAAATAACAGTTGTTGAATATTTAATAGTGCCAACCCCTTCCTTGTCCTATGCAATATAGCATGTTGGTACAGAAGCACAAGAAGGACAAATGAAATACAGTGACTTTGACATGGTAGTCATAATAATAATCATAATAACCTGGATCAAGCACAAGCAGGATGAAAAAGGTATTGTTTGGGTTGCAGTCTGCTCATATACTAAAAAAAGTGGGTAAAACCTCACACAATGCTCAATGCATTTATTTCAGTGGAAATTGCTTAAATATTTTATCAGGAAATAAAAAAAAACGAATGTTGAGCCAAATATCCTTCTTTTGAGGAACAAAATTTTTACTCTACCATTTTCTTGTGTGGAAACTTTAAAATAAAATGATGGCGTTTCAGTAATACATAATACAAACTCAAAGGTTATGTCTGAAAGTCTGCCCTCTCCCCTAGATCCCTCACTCACTATATAGAGTGAAGACTTTATAG